GCTTCTAAGTGCTTTACTTACATTGGCTTTTAAATCAACCTGTTAAGTAAAGAAATATTTGAAAAATTGAGATTACAGCAAATTTTTGAAATTAGGAAAACCAACTTGTAATACAATAGTTTTAAATACATAACATGGTCCAGAGAAGGGCTTTTGAGTACTAGGTTTGAGTCTTCTAGATTTATGTTGATTTTGAGCTAGATAATTCATTTCTTTAATACTAAAATAGGAATATCTAGATTACCTATTTATTATGAGAATGTATAATAATGTTTAATAAATTACAAAATGTAAGCTGGAGGTATTGTTCTTAATTAGATAACTTCAGGTAAGAGTTCCTAAAATTTTAATAAAGAAAGAAAAAACAGGTACCTTTTCTTTTTACAGCTAACTTTTATTAATAATTAGACCAAAGTCTGTTATGTGCTTTTAAAGGAGTCTGTTAATTCAAACTGTTTGTTTTTAAATAATGTAGTAGGAGATGATTATAAGTAGCCTGATATTTCTTACGCTTTTCATAGTAAACTTTGGAGGCCCATGGATTTTTGAAAAGTAATTTTGTTTTGATTATGTTCTTAAGGTAGTAAAATTCATTGATGGGGACTACTGTGTACTCTTAGGCTTCTTACAGATCATCCACAGTACTACATGTTCTTATCCTGCTTTGTCTTTAGAGGATTGTGATGTTTAATCACAGTCTTTCCTAATAGACACCACTAATTTCATCAGGCTTACTTCGTGCCTTTTTTATTAAATATACTTCATCAAATAACCTGAAAAAAATAATAATTATTATCATTATTATTACGTACCAGGCACTGAACAGATCACTTTATATGCAGGGATTTTATTAACTAGTAAAATTACTTCTCAAAGAAGGTAACAAAAAATGTTTTTTTAATTGCAGTCTTCTTACAAAGTTAATTTTTAAAGTTTTATTTTGCATATCCTTTTTTGAAAGATATCATTACTGTCTCATAAGCAGAGTACTTATCATTCTACTACAGATGTCAACTTTGCTGTTTGTGAAATTATTAAAATATCCTAAATATGTGATTTTTAGCTATTCATACTATTTTCAGGAGTTTTGGTTTTCTTTCATTTGTCTTTTCTCACTTTAAGCTAAGTTTTTGTTTCTGTTTTTTGTTTTGTTTGAGACAGGGTCTCACTCTGTCACCCAGGCTGAGTACAGTGGCACGATTACAGCTCACTGCAGCCTCAACCTCCTGGATTCAAGCGATCCTCCCAAGTAGCTGGGACTACAGGCGCACACCACCATGTCCATCTGATTTCTGATTTTTTGTAGAGACAGGATCTCACCATTTTGCCCAGGCTGGTCTCAAATTCCTGGGCTCAAGTTATTCTCCTGCTTCAGCCTGCCAAAATGCTGGGATTACAGGCAGAGCCACTGCGCCTGTCCTTTAATTTTTAACATAATATTTTGTTGTTAGATCTAATACTCTAACTTTCAACTTATTCTATTCTATTTTACTTAAACCTGTTTTTCATTGTATTGTGATTGAGATTTTTTCTTAGTTTGTAGAGTTAAGAAAACCTTCTATAATTCCATTTATTTGTTAGCTTTTTATAGTGTTTAAAATTATTTTTCTGTATTCTAGAGCTATTTGTGTTTACCTGGAATTATACCACTTTTATACTCTCTAATCAATACTTATTTTTACTGATTTTTTAAAAGAAATTATGACCATTTTTAATGGCCAGTATTTTGAGTCACTTTCCTTTAAAATCTTGCTTTTTAAGAAAAATACTTTGTCAGGCTTGTTAAATTGTACAGTAAGCTCTATGTAGGATGATGGTGCTAGCATCTTCCCGAACTGACTTATAATTTTGACTCTTAATATACTATATAAGTAAGAGGATTCATCAGCATTTACTTTTTGTTCTTTTGCAGAGATGAATAAACATCTTGAAATGCTGATTTAGACAATGTTTTAAAAATGCTTTGATGCACTTTGGTATATGACTGACTCTTGCTTAGTTAAATGTTTTGCAGCATTATAACATAGTTGAATTCAGCTCATCTTTTAAAGCAGTTGTCAGAAAAATATGGGCTAGCATGGTAGAATGTATTAGCTCAATACATTGTCTCCATTTTATTATGAAGCTGCTGAGGAAGCTGTGATATACAGCACTGTCATTACAGATCTATTGTTAGGATGGTTCCACAGTCTTCTTTGCACTGCCATTAATTTATAGCAGTAAACAATATGTAGCCTTCCAACTGCAGCAAAGCAGAATCTTTTAATGAGGTGGATGTTATTACCACAATAAATCAGTGCTTTCGCGTAATGTATAATTCAATGTGTGTATTCCCACTGTAACTTCTCTGAGTAAGCTGATAGTGTATCATTGTCATTGCACAGCTCCACTGGTCTTTTTTTTTTTTTTTTTTTTTTTTAACTTTCTTTTATTTGGGGACTTCTTTTTTATATGCTTGCAAATAAATGTGGTATGTCTTGATAGCTGTCCTATAGCAGGCTTCAGAAACCAACTGTAACAATAACAGCCAAAATCAATACTGTGGGTTCTACCAATATGGATCTCTGCAAGATGCCATTTTTTTCAGATGCTAGTGAAATCAATCCTAATTGGTTTTAGCATTATATTCAAGAAACGTGATTCTATAACTATTGATTTTGGGGGTTATTCATTTGGAGAGTAATAAAAATAGGAGCAGATAAAGTGAATACTTAATATGCTGCAGAACCATACAAAAGGAGCATTGATTCTATTTTTAATTCATATGATTTGTCTTCTAGTGATTTTATTTCTTCTCTCTTTTCTTTTCCATGGCTCATTCTTTAGGGGCAGCAACTAAAATACATTTAAAGGCATTTCAAATTGGTTTTGTAACAAAGAAAGAATCCTTGGAGTCAGCTCCATTCTTAACTGGCACATATTTAGTAAGTCAGATATGATTCCTTTGTACAGAAACTAATGCTTTAAAATATAGCATTTAAATTAGTTTACTGTGAAACTGACTTAAAATAGTAATTAAAGATTTTTAAAATTTTGCTTGTAAAGGAAAACATGCCTTAAAATATGATAATATTTATTAAAACCAAGCTATTGAAAGAGAGTGATGCCAAAGATAGTTTTGAAAAAATAATTAATTTGATAAAGATAACCAAAATGATAAATTTAAGATGTTGCTTAAAATTACATAACATGAAAAGCAGTTTAAAAACTGGTCTGAACATTGCTTCGTTTTCAATAAAATATTTCTCAGTGCATCCATTTTAAACCAATATTTTTGATTTATTTGTTTTAACATTTTCTCTACAAATAATCAGATATTTTCTTTCTCTTATAAATAAGGAGTGATTAACTAATAGGTGTTCATAAATTATATAAGGCAAAAGACTGTTGTGTATCTTTTTTAAAATAAAGATTTATTTATTTATTTGTTTGTTTGTTTGTTTAGAGACAGGATAGGGACTCCCTCCATCTCCCAGGCTGGAGTACAGTGGCACGGTCATAGCTCACTGTAGGCTTTAAGGCGCCTGGGCTCATGTAATCTTCCTACCTCAGCCTCCTGAGTAGCTGGGACTACAGGGACATGCCACTATGCCCAGCTGATTTTGAAAATTTTTTGTAGAAACAGGGTCTCACTGTGTTGCACTCCTGGACTCAAGCGATCTCCCACCTCGACCTCCCAAAGCACTGGGATTGTAGGTGTGAACCACTGTACCTGGCCTCTGTATCTTATTAAGAGAAGTAATCTTATATATCATATCTTTTTCAGTGAATGGGTACTTAAACATTTTGAATAAGGAATAGAGATTTTCTAGAGATCAGAATTTTTTTTGAGAATGAATTGTTACTTAAAGCAGTTGATCTTAACATTTTTTGAGCCTTAGACTCCTTTGAGACTCTAAAGCATATTCTCTGTGTCTTCATAAGGAAGTGTACATGCATAGGCATGATCACACAGAATTTTGCCTGCTATTTAATGGAGTTCATGTATTAACTAAATGACAACAGCAGTAGCAACAATAAAGATACAGGTACCAACTAACATCTATTAAGCTTTATCTTATGCTAAGCAATTTGCTAAAGGCAATTATTTCATTCAAACTCTTTTACCCAAATTCTAAAAGATTATCTTAAAAACCATAGTTAGCATTCATTGAATGTTGTCAGGCATAGTTTGTTGGACTTTAATGTACCTACTCATTTTTATCTTTCAAAACAACCTTCTGAATGAGTATTATTATCATTCCAGTGAGCTCAGGGTTTCGACCATGTTGCTATGTTGCTCTGGGACCTCTGCTGTAAAGTATTATTTTCCAGTATAAGTTCATAATCTGTCTACTATTTTTTGTAACTATATATATAGTTCATGCAGGCATATTTTTATCGTCTGGTTAAAGTATATACATATATATGTGTGTGTGTATATGTGTGTGTGTATCCTATATAGATATATAGGCATATTTTTATCCTTTGTTTTCACTCACACTAGTAGAAATTTCTAGTTATATCTTAACCCTATTTTCTCACAATTTCTTTCTTGTACTCCATCTCACCTATCTCCCAGTTTTGTTTCATCCTCTTCTAAGAACCCATTATAAGTCAGTCCTTCAGCTTTAAGATTCTGTTTCTGGTTGTTGCTTCTAATTAACTAAATGAGGTTTTATAGGTGCTTTCCAAAGTGTTGTACATCTGATATTTCATTTCATGTAATTGTCTTTATGTGATGCTTGTTATGGGTTGATTAAACACCTATGTTCCACTAAAACTAGACTTACGGAGAAATGATGGGTTCATCCATTCACTTACTTATATGTTGTGTTTAACTTGTGTTGAAAAAAAACTGCTTTTCTTTTTACTCCCGAAATGATACTGCGTTGCAGCTTAAATAGTATATATTTTTAAAATTCACTTTTATACCTACCAGTAGGATATCATCACAAGACAGGAAGATGTGAAGGATGATTACATTTATGTATTCTTTTTTTTTCCCTGCCTATTGGCAGCCAATAGGAGCCCTGAACCCAAAAAGAGCAGCATTCTTCGCAGAGCGCTATGAATCATGGGAAGACGATCAAGTTCCAAAGTTTCACTATGGTACTCATTACTCAACTGCAAGTTTTGTTCTTGCATGGCTGCTAAGAATAGTAAGTTCAATTTGAATAATACACCATGACTAAATAAATTCAATGTTGTGAAGGATATGCAAAAATTAGAACTCATCAGCATCTTTTTTTGAATACTAAAAAAGTCAGTTTAAATGATTGAAGTTCTAATTATAAATATCTCTATATCTCATTTGGCTTGTATTGCCTTAAAAATGTTTCATCTGGAATTGTATGAATTTTTTTTCTTAAATTTGCCCCTTCAGATGGTTGCTATCTTACCAGATTCCAAATTGTAACATAAATTCTTTTAAAATGCAGTTTATTAAAATAAGAACTAAGTAAGTTGTTACTAACACAGACATGTATTTATATATTTTGGAAAGTTGCCCCAAATGGAATAAGGTAAGTTTGTTGGTAAAACTAAGGCTGTCGTGTATTGATAATATATTGGTTAAACAAGAAATGTTTCTGTGAAATTGAAAGGTGATTCATCTACTAGAAAGCAGTGTCTTTGGGAAAGCATTAGCAGCACATCATTAATTAAAGCTTGTTACAAGGATACAGGCAGACATAAATCCTAGAAGTAATTTATAGTGCTTAGCTAATTTCAAGCAATTATCCACTAATATGTGTTTAAGTGTTCTTTAACTAAGAGGAGGCTTTTAAATCATCCAAACATTTTTCTTTTCTTAATCATAAATTAAATATTGAGCCATAACAGTAGGAAAACTACATGCTGGACTATTCTCTGTACTATGAAGAAAATACATCTAATTTATGTCTGCATGATATTAATAAATTATTCTTAGAAAGGAAGGCTACCTGAAGAAAATGTTGCAAATACCAAATTTTTGAAATATTTAGAAATATTTCTTTTGAGGGAAAAATAACTTGAGAACATTAATGTAATAATTTATATATAATTCTCATTGTATACCTAGTTTATATTACTAGCTAGTAGCTATTAGTCATTAAAATATTTAGTTCTAAGGATTTATAAAAACCACATTTTTATGCATGAGGGAACCTATGGATTTTTTTAATTGCTATTTTTTAGGAACCTTTTACAACTTATTTCCTAAATTTGCAAGGAGGCAAATTTGATCATGCAGATCGAACTTTTTCATCAATTTCCAGAGCTTGGCGAAACAGTCAGCGTGATACATCTGATATTAAGGTACAGAAATGTTTTGTTTTATTGTTGTTATTGCCAATGTATTACTTGTTGAATGAATGTTGAAAATTTTCTCTACTGCCATGCAACGCTATTTACTAAAGATAAATCTCAGAAGATGAAGTCCTTAATTGAATGGCCAAGAATTATAGCATTTCTCTCTCTGTCTCTGTCTCTTGTCTTTCCCTGTGAGTTTTTGTAGTTGTTGTTTTGTTTTTGTTTGTTTGTTTGTTTGTTTGGAGACAGAGTCTTGCTCTGTCCTTCAGGCTGGAGTGCAATGGCGCAATCTCGGCTCACTGCCACCTCCGCCTCCAGTGTTCAAGCAATTCTCCTGCCTCAGCCTTCTGAGTAGCTGGGATTACAGGTGTCTGCAATAATGCATGGCTAGTTTTTTGTAATTTTTTAGTAGAGACGGGGTTTCACCATGTTGGCCAGACTGGTCTGGAACTCCTGACGTCAAGTGCTCTGCCTGCCTCAGCCTCCCAAAGTGTTGGGATTGCAGGCGTGAGCCACTGCACCTGGCCTCTCCCTGTAAGTTCTAAATGACTGTCTCTCTTCTATCAGAATCTCTCCCTCCTCGCTCTCTGTCTGTTGTTGTAGAGTGGTTTTTTCCCCTCTTTCTCTTTAGAATCTTTCTGTTGAAGGGAAAATACGGTAGGTAGTGTGGATGTAAGGCATGTAAGGCACCATGCGTAATGGGATTCTGAACTTTTTTTTTTTGGAAACAAGGTCTCACTTTGTCCCTCAGGCTGGAAGTGCAGTGGCGCAGTCACGATTCACTGTAGCCTCAGCCTCGACCTTCTAGGCTCTAGTGATCCTCCTGCCTCAGCCTCCTGAGTAGCTGGGACCACAGGCATGTACCACCACACTAGGCTAATTTTTTATTTTTTGTAAAGATGGGGTCTCCCTATGTTGCCCAGGCTGGTCTTGAACTATTTTAAGCAATATTCCTGCCTCAGCCACCCAAAGTGCTGGGATTACAGGTGTGAGCCACTGTGCCTGGCTGGAATTCCAAACTCAGTGAGTAAAATTACTATAGTCTGAAAAATACCATGAGAAAAATCTCAGACATAGATATTTAGATACCCTATGTACCTGTTCTTAAAATAATTGTGTTTTGCCTGCCGCTGGTTCTAAATGCATACCTGACTTTGCTTAGTAAAGGATTCCATTATTAATAAAGCAAAATAAGAGTTATTCTATTTATATGCATGAAAGATCAAAGGATCAAAAACTTTGCACAGTAGCTAATATAATCCTTACTAGAATTTTGCTTCTACCCACAGAAATAGTCTTTTTTTTTTTTTTTTTTTTTTACGTAGTGTCTCTTTCTGCAAGGTGTACTGTGTTAGATCTATTAAGTATAATGAGATATCCCTATGGTTTTGAAGTTCCTTATAATTCCATAGAGAAATATGATATATATAAATAATTATACCATATGAGAGAAAATAAGTGCCAGATGAGAAATATTGGAGTCCAAAAGAAGAAAAGTTCTACTAATGTGTATGTTACTATAGAGTACTTAAAAATTTTTTCAGTGTAATGATAATTGCATCTTGCTTTTAGGTATGATACTTTCAAGTCTACAAAATGTATTCACATCTTACTGTAGAGTACATTGCTTGTGTGAAAGATACTTTATTAAAGAAGATTCTGTCGTATGCAAAAATAATCTTTTATTGGGACATCTACAGGGTTTTTGATCTCACAAATAATATACTCTGATACACTCTTGAAAATTATATATCATATTCTTTAAAAATCACCAGTAAACAATTTTGAACTAGATGTGTAGATAAAGATAAATAAGAGTAGTTAAAAGATTTAATAATTTTGTTAAATTTTACCTCTAATCTCAAAACTGTTTAATTACTTATATAACTCTTTTGAGAAATAATAAGAGAAATGAAAATATTGATAAGCCTGACATTTTGTTATGAAATTGAAGACTTATGTGTGGGTGTTTTTTCTTTTCAAATTCCTTGATTTGTTAAGCATCTCATGACCAAATTTTAACCTCATACCTACGTTTGCTACTAGAAATATAAACAAAAATGAAGTCATGAATTTGAGGATTATTTTTTCCTGCTTTATAACAGCAATAGTAGGTATCTTCAGCTTTCTGCCTCTATCTGTGCTAGGCATTCCTGTTCACTGCTTTGATGGACAGGAGGTACATATGATAGATGCTAGTAGTTTTGTTTTCTCTTCTTCCTGAATCTCAGCCTTTTTCTTTCAAGATTCTTTAATTAGTTTGTATTTGGTTTCATTTTCTCTAACAATTCTTTAAAATACCCTACCTGTAAAAAAATAAAAAGAAAAAGAAACCTAAACAAAACAACTATAACATCAAAAGAAATCACCTGCTCTTCTTTAGCTTTCTTCTTCTTTTTCTTATTATTCTTGTTTTATCACAACTAATATGGAGTCAAATCCAGCTCCCTCTTATGTTTGGAAGCTCAAAATATTTTCAGAACTTACTTTGTGAGGCCTGCTGATATTTTTCCACCAATGTGTATATTCTCCTTCTTCTCCATCTCCACCCCCATGCCCTAATATCTGTAGGATAGTAAGTAGGGCATTGATAAATTACCCCCATTTTTATATTGATAACCAGCTAATTAGGGCCCTAAAACTTAGTGACTTTCAAATACTTTGACAACTATATAATATATGGTTATATAGGCTATTTAAAGAACCTCCTATTGGTTGGTCTTTCTAAAACAGGAAGGATTTAATCATGCCTCTGTTGTTGTTTTGATCCTATTTTTAAAATGTTACATTTTGACACCTTAGAAAGCATATTTAAATTTTTATAATAAAGATAAATGTATAAGAACACACTTAAATTACTATAATAACATAAATATTTCATTCAGCTATCACATATTTCAGGTAGAATCATTATTAGTTATAATTGTCAACTTTATTTGTATTGTCTTGCTGGAGTTCCTAGAAATACTAAAGAAATGTTAAACAGTAGAGAGCAGATGGTGAAATATGATGGTGGGGTGGTAGGAATCATTTTATTGAGTAGATCCTAAAGCATACCTTGCCTGATTAATATAGTATACATTCTGCAAAATGTTTTTGTGAGATTTTCCAAAAATGAAATGTAAGGTATGTAGAAGATTTAAATTTTTTCAGAAAGAAAAAAATAAGAATAAGGTAACATTTCTGGTAGCTTGTTTTTTTTTTTTTTTTTTTTTTGCTGAGGGGGAGTTGTTACTTTAGTATCTTAAAATCCCTCTTTCTTAAATTTTACCAATACTCAAAGAATAATATTACCCAAAATTGAGGTTATTCCTATGAAATAAAGGTTAAAAATGTTAATTATTTTTATTTTAAAGAAGAAAGAGACTTTTTTTTTACACTAAAGCAATCTTTTATTTATGGCACAGTTTACTGTTTTTAAAGTTTTGTGTATCATTTGTATTTCTCTGCATCATTGGTGATTCCATTTCAGATCTGACCTCTCAATGATGGCCTTTATTCTGCCTGAAGAAGCAGATCAGTAGTGTTGATCAGTTTTCTAAGTAGGCTTAGAGCTACTCTCCAATGGAAATATAATACAAACCACAAATATAAGCCACCTATGTAATTAAATGATTTCATAGTCGTATTTTTAAAAGTAAAAAAAATTAATAATTTATCTTAACCATATATTTCCAAAATATTATTTCAATATATAATCAATATAAAATTGTTAGATATTTTACATTTTTTGATACTAAGTCTTCCAGTGGTATTTTATACTTAACATTTCTCTATTTACATGACACATCTGTGTTGAGACTAGCAACACATTTTGTGTTCAATAGCCATTTGTGGCTAGTGGCTGCTGTATTGGGCAGTGCAGATTTAGGGCGTTGTTTTGGAATCACATCAAGCGATAGTTTGGGCTTATGGAAAGAATGCCTTCACTCTTTTTAAACAATGATGTTTCTGATGTGTACTTCATCTAAAAACAAACAGATAATGAGTACTAACAATCTGTAATCTTGAAGACTGAAATGCAAAGTATTAAAATTGGGTTGGAGAATCATCACTGTACTAAATAATATTTTAAAATCCACAGTAGATTCTGTGTTTTAAATCTTTAAAATTCACTTAAATTTAGAAACTGGGGTTCGGAATAGATTATTTTCTTCAACCTGAACCTTGAATTATTATGACCAAATTTTATGTAACAAATTACAGACTCATGAAGTTTAAATGAATTTGACTAGACAGTTATATCTAAATATTGGGCAAATATCTAAACTTTTCTAGGCAATTTATTGTCATTGATTTTTTTCCCTTCCTCTTGAGGTTGTGTACTCATTTCAGATACCTTTAGTGTCGATAAATTCAATCTAATGGTGAAGTACAATCTGACTTGCTGCAGTTTAAATTCTTTTCTTTCTGTACTGTAGAAATGATTACTACTCTGTACTAGAACATAGAAGGAATCATAAATGTCACCCCGGTTCATTACTTTGGAATGAGGACAGTAGTAAATGGATCTGAAACAGAGGTTGTTGGAGAACCATACTTTTTCAGAAACCCTGAATTTAATATAATAATATATTATTAAAATATAAGCTGTACAAAAGTAAATTAGATTAAAAAGTTTGGAGGAACCCTGAGATATCATTTACTTTTAAAATTTTGTATTTTAATTGTGTTTATCCACTATCAGACTCTGGTTGTGATATAGCACCAAATATGACATAACTCTTGCCTTCAGTGGGCTTTTGCAGTAGGGGAGATACCTACAATAAAACAAGTCCAAACAGTTTAGTACAGTAGACTCATGCTCCTTGGGCTCATGGATACAGCATCTGAAATGATGAGAAGGAAGAGGAAAGAGGAAATTCAGGACCAATCATGGGGTCCTTCTGCTTTGTGAAAGAGGATGAACTTTATCTTGGGTGCAGTGGGGAGACTTGGGAGAGTCTGAAGCAGAGAAGTGACATGAGTAGATTTTGTGCTTTTAAGAGATCACTGTGATTGGTGTT